GGTTCCCCTGCTCAAGTCATCACATGTCCAGGCCCGTCTGAAGTTTGCCAATGACCATCTGGATGATCCAGAGGAGGCATGGGAGAAAGTCATGTGGTCAGATGAGACCAAAGAAGGATGAGTTGCATCCCAAGAACACCATCCCTACTGTGAAGCATGGGGGTGGTAACATCATGCTTTGGGGGTGCTTTTCTGCGAAGGGGACAGGACGACTGCACTGTATTAACGAGAGGATGAATGGGGCCATTTATTGTGAGATTTTGAGCAACAACCTCCTTCCCTCAGTCAGAGCATTAAAGATGGGTCGTGGCTGGGTCTTCCAACATGACAATGACCCAAAGCACACAGCCAGGATAACTAAGGAGTGGCTCCATAAGAAGTATATCAAGGTTCTGGAGTGGCCTAGCCAGTCTCCAGACCTAAATCCAATAGAACATCTTTGGAGGGAGCTGAAACTCCGTGTTGCTCAGCGACAGCCCCGAAACCTGACAGATCTAGAGGAGATCTGTGTGGAGGAGTGGGCCAAAATCCCTGTTGCAGTGTGTGCAAACCTGGTCAAGAACTACAGGAAATGTTTGACCTCTGTAATTGCAAACAAAGGCTTCTGTACCAAATATTAACACTGATTTTCTCAGGTGTTCAAATACTTATGTTCAGCAGTGCAAGACAAATAAATTCTTTAAAAATCATACAAAGTGATTTCCTGAATTTTTTTTTTAATTCTGTCTCTCAGAGTGGGAATGCACCTGTGATGTGAATTTTTCAGACCACTCCATGATTTCTAAGTGGGAGAACTTGCAAAATTGCAGGGTGCTCAAATACTTCTGTTCCTCACTGTATATGCAGTAAGTATATGTTCAAGTATTTTAAAGGATAGTTGCTTGCCATATTTTGTAACAATCAAGTGACATTTTCAGTCCTAACCTTTTACATAAACATTTCCATATAAAGGTAAGCTATAAAATGTGCCCCTTGTACAAATTCAACTTAGTAGATGTATTTACACCATTTAAAAGTCATAGCATGAAAAGTTTCAAATGCAAATCACTTCTTAAAAAAATTTTAAAAAACTGACTGAGGCAACAATATGGACTACAAATACATCAGCTGCTTAAAATTTCAGACTTCAAAGGTTCTCTATCTAAAGAAAGGCTTCTAAGAGAATGACTTTGGTGTGTGATGTCTTTTGCATGCATCAGTAAAAACAGAATAATTATAAAATAAAGGAGATATTAGAACAAAAAAAGGTATAAAAGAGCAAATCAAATGAAACAAGAGAGACAGGTAACAGTCAAATTAAAATCCAGGCAGGTGTAGGGGGTTTTAGCAATGAGAACATTACAAATCCAAGGTGAATATTTCTGAAAAAAACTCATGTCTAAGGCTGCTTTTAGACTGATGTGGTGCAGTTTGACGGTACCGTGGAGCAGTGTACTCACAGGTTTGGTGCAGATTAGCGGTGCTTTCCCATAGATTTTTATAACGTTCTGCCATTTTGGTGCACTTTCTGAAAGCGCACCAAAACTGCAGGATCTAATAGAACCCCATGGGAAAGTAAAGCTAATCCATGAGTACACTGCACTGCTCCCATGGTGCAAACCAGGGGCGGACTGACAACTCATGGGGCGCCCGGGCAATAGGGGATCATGGGGCCCCTGTGTCCTTGCCCAAACTCAAAAAAGCCTATGAAAAAGTACAAGGGGCATCTCATGGGGCCCCCTACTGACCCCAGGCTCCCGGGCAGTTTCCAAATGGTCAGTCAGCCCCTGGTGCAAACAGTACCACATCAGTCTAAAAGCAGCCTAAAAAGCTGGAAGACAGTGGTCGCAAATCATGTCGAACATACAGGAACTAACTATGTTACCCAAAGCAGTCACAATCTGTGGAAACTTGTACTGAGATAAATACAGGGAGTCATTGTTGATATCCTAAAGATGCAAGTTACCTGGAGGTCTCTGGCTTCAATGCTTAATGACTTGAACAAGCATACATGCAAAGTTAGAACTCTTGATCTCCTTACTTGTTTCAGGTCAGTGCTTTAGAAATTGTTAAAGCCAACAAGACAGCATGACAACTAAGACCTTATTTTCAGGAGAGGTCAGCATTGGCAGACTGCATGTTTTCTTAGTACAAGTTTCCTTTACTGTATCTATGGCAAGGGATGAAAATGAAACTGAGAGGTTGGTATGGAAAAATACAATTATTTCAGATACATTAAATCTTGAAGCCAAATAAATATGCCTAAAACATGAACATTGGCATCAAATAACAGAGCTGGTGTCACCATGGAAACAAGCCATGGTCTTGAAAAATGAATGTGACCTAGTCAATACCAGGGCCCTGGAAGCCTTCAGTGGATAGCATGACAGAGTGAATATACGCTAAAAAATACAGAACATACCTGTCAATTATAAAGAAATGTATGTTTGTATACAGAAATCATTAACATCTTACTAGGGCAGAGATAGAGCATGGAGACACATTTTTGAGGTGTCCAGCACTCTATAAAATACTTTTTCATCTTTCAATGTCAGGTCTTATCTAGCCAAGTGTTTACCCTGTCCTAACAATCATCTCATGCAAATAAGAAACTGAAAGCATCCAAATTAAGTACTGATCTACATCTATTGCATTTAACTATGTAAATAACATATGCTTAACTGCCTCCCGCCCACCAAGGAAATGATGGGAGGACGGTGGTTCTCTCCTTCTGTGAGGACGTCATATGACATCCTCCCACTCTAGCTGTGCGTGTGCTCCCCCGAGTGCACGGAAAGCGGTGATCGATGGTGCGCTGTGTCCCTGGGACATAGCATATCATTGATCGCAGTAAAGAGCAGATGACGTTGGCTCTATCATGTGATCAGCTGTGTCCAATCACAGTTGATCGCATGTAAATATGAAATGCCGGTTATCAGCAGTCCTCTCCTCACACTGACAGCCATTGAGAGCCAGTAAGTGGCATTCCTCAAAGGGGACATGTGTACTGATCATCAGTGCCCTGATGATCAGTGTAGCCCCATCATTGCCACCTGTCAGTGCCCATCAATGCCAAATACTGGTGCCCATCAGTGCACATCAATGGAACATATCAGTGCACATCAATGCCACATATCAGTGCCCAACAGAGCTGTCTTTCAGTGCCAACTATCAGTGCCAGTCAGTGCTGCCTAACAGTGCCAGTCAGTGCCGCCTATCAGTGCCGGTCAGTGCTGCCTATCAGTGCCCCCAATATGTGCACATCAGTGCCGCCAATCTGCACTGCCTATCCATGCTAGTCAGTGCTACCTATCAGTGTTTATCAGTGCCGCCTATCAGTGCCCATCATTGCCACCTAACAGTTCCAATTAGTGCCACCTATCAGTGCCAGGCAGTGCCATCTATCAGTGCCCATCAGTACCACCTATCAGTGCCATATATGAGTGCTGCCTTTCAGTGCCCATCAGTGATGCCTGTCAATGACCACCAGTGATGCCTGTCAATGCCCATCAGTGCCTCATCTGTGCCACCTATCAATGCCCATCAGTGCAGCCTATCAGTGCCCATCACTGCAGCCTCTCATTAGCACACATCAGTGAAGGTGAAAAATTACTTATTTACAAAATTTTATAACAGAAACTAAGAAAAACGTTTTTTAGTTTGTTTAGCAAAAAATGAAAAACCCAGTGGTGATTAAATACCATCAAAAGAAAGCTCTCTCTATCTCCAAAAATTATAAAAAATGTGTTTGGGTACAGTATTGCAAAACTGCGCAATTGTCATTCAAAAGTGCAACAATGCTGAAAACTGAAAATTGGCCTTGGCAGGAAGGGGGTGAAAGTGACAACCAAAGTAATAAGAATAATTGTGTAGTTAGACAAAGATTGTACTAACAATCTCTATTTATAGTCTTACCTCCATTTTCCCAATATTGCAGTTTTGCCAGATGTTTACATAAAATGGTGCAGTCAAATGAGTACCAAAAAAGACCCAGTGCTCTCAGTCACAAAAGTCTGCACAGACACCTTCCTGCTTTGCAAATAACAAATGTACATAAGAAAGCTTCTGCTAAAGGGTGTGGGCTGTTACTCAGCTCTGCCAGCACAGAGCACTAGAGTAAGAGAGCTGAAAGCAGCAGTGTCACTGACAAAAAAACTTATTTTAAAGTACTTTGAAGCAAAAAATCAATATGTAGTGATACACATATACTGTAGATAGATTAAAAAAAAATATGTGAGACGTTAATAGAGTTTTAATATCTAACTTTGGTGATACTTAGGGGATCTACCGTATTTATAAAAAATGTTATATGAATGTGGAAAACATTCTCAAAAGCTGCACCAAAAAAGAGCTGTGTTTAGTGTAATATGATTATTTCCTATGATCTAGTGACTATCATGGAAAATACTGTATTATTGCAACTAGATAACGCTTATATTTACAGGAAACAACCAAATTACATAAAATATAGCAATTTTTCATAGCTTTGCATGAATGCTTGTTGCATTTGCACAGCAAATGTTTTATAAACTGCCCCCTTAAAATGTACCTCTAGTCTAATCCTTAATTTTAGTTTTCGATAGAGTGAAGAAGAGATAGACCTTCTGACGTTTTTTTTTTCCGATCTGTGTTCTCTTTGGGAAGATTAACCCCTCTCTAGTTATACTGGTGATCAATGTCACCAAGAAAGAGGTAAGGGAAAATCCAAAGTTTTAGAGTTGTCCCCAGAACAAGAGGTAAGGGAAAATCGTTCAATGTAGACACCTGTTCTTGACACAGTTGTCTAAGAGGGAAATTTTCCTCAGTTTGGAAGATTCCCTCTACCTTCTGATTGCAGAAAGTGAAGGGAAATTTCCCCCAACAGCTTACAGACAGCAAACAAATTAGCTGACAGAGATTTTAAGTCTTCCCCACTCTATCCAAAGCTAAAAAAAAGAATAATAATATTATCTGACTATACATACAATTTAAGCATAAATTCCATTAATTTTAGCTACTATTTCTGTTTGCAGCCAACTTACCAACTGAAATCAACAGTTTCAAATTTTTCCCCTTCTACTGGTATTTGGTTACGTATATCCTCTGATCCAAAAACTGGTTCCAGATATAACCAGGCCATCTGAACTCGAAGCCAGGAATCCAAAGTGTCCTGAAAGTGTCTCTAAACAAGAAATAAAATATATCAAGGCCAAAATAATTTTGGATTAGATGACTAAAACAAACTTGCTAATCTCTCTTTCCCCCTTTTGAATTTTTTTCAGTCAGATTTTTCAGGGTTAAGAAATGTCTCCTTGTCCTCTGTTTTCTGTTCTCCTTGGTGAAGAACAATGAAGAATGAGCTAACACAGCTGCCTCTCTGTGTTCTCACTTGAATCACTCACCCTTACTGGGTGACTGTGTCTGTTGCATTTAGGCTCACATAATAAAAAATTAAAGTGAAATCAATTTAACATAAAGAATGTTATACTTCTTTTCCCTTTTTAATATTCTACAGAAAGCTGATGGCAAGGTTGGTCCTGAAAAGCTGAATATAATGAAAATTAGTGAAGCATGGACTTGACTGGATGGTGAAATCTGAGATGCAGCATGGAGATGAAATCTAAAAGCTAATTAAATTCAACAAGAGCTTCTGAAAAGGCAACATACCAACTTAGCTTCCCATGCTAATATTTCTTTTTCAAATGGCTCAATAAATGGAGAACCTTTCATGGTTGTTGTTTTCACAATGTGGTCTTCCAGCAAAACCTTTAACAGGAAGAGAAGAAATGAAATTGAGGATGATGACAAATAGAAGGGTATATAAATACAAATGTTGTGTAATTAAGATAGCAGTATATAAAATTGCATATACAGATTTTTAAAAGAATATGTTGTGGAACAAAAGCATTTATAGATAGTGATATGTAGAGAGAGAGAAAGAGAGAAGAGAGAGAGAGATTTTAATTCATATTATGTACTTACGTATATATAAACACACACAAACACTGTACATAAATAAAATTATTTTACAAGTACCTAACCTCTGACTTTTCTGACCTCCAAAATGTGTTCTATTGGCGCTGTGACATGGAGTCGGGGATTACAGGGACCTTTTGCAGCTAATTCCACCTTTCAAACCATTTTTAATGTTACACACATATTAAGAATATATTAGCATGGCTTGGCATAACTCCAACCACACAGGAGCCTCATTCATTTCCAAGAAGTTGTATAAGAATAAAAACAATCTGCCAGTACAACAAAGCAACTGTAGTTCTTAATGGAGAACACATATGGGCATGTCTCCACACTTGTATTCCATCAATACTTCCTCCAGTTCTGTAGCTAAAGGTTTGTACTACTGTATAGACCAGGGGCTGGAGGAAGACCCTACAAGAGCCAGAACATTACATCTGCAATCCACTAATGTTGATTTCAATGCTTTGCAGGCACAAAATCAACCAACAATCCCAACCATAAATCCCACACTGTCTGCTGGACTGTTCACTCAATACAGAACTTCAGATACATCTATCCAAGTGGGTTTTAGATTCACCAGTTTTCCTAAACATTACTGATAGAAGTTAATGGAGTTGATGCACCAAGTTCAAGATTAGTAACAGCGAGTTATAATTAAAGTAGTGCTGTTAAGCCCACAGTTCAATTTCCACGCTGAAATTGCGAAATATACATATTATACACTGTATAATGGTTCCTATAAAATTAAGTAATTAGCAAGAAAGAATATTTCAACAGACCATGGAAATCTTCCATAAACCTTTTCTTCTAGTTTTACTAATGCAAGATCTACAATTTTATCACCTCTAGTGCCACCAGGACTTTGGAAAATCTTGATCACCACCCAGCTGTTTGAATAAAAGGCCCTAATTCTCTTAGCTTCTCATTTATGGCATTTGCTTCTAATTGTTTATGATCCTCCTGACATAGGTATGCACACCTATATACTTGATGTGTTCAGCTGATATTGTTCAGAGTGAGGACCCCCTTTTTTAACATAGTTATAATGCCCGAAAAGTTAAGAAATGAAAGTACTGTTAGTTTGTACACCAGCAGGTTATGCATACGATGTGGTGATTTATTCACTCAGATCTTGGTAGATGTTTTTTACTTATCCAGGTATTTGCATGAGTATGCAAATAATATTCTAATTACCAGTGCATTAATGCCTAATGCCTTGCATTTTAAATATAATATATGCGAGTTGCATAACATATTCATTTTATAGTAATTTTTCTTACTTTCCTGATGCCATTTCAATTTTCAGATGTTTTACTAAATCATCAGTGTTAGACAGAGTAGGCAAGCAGCATGTTTATGCTTTCAGGTCATGTGTATTCTGCACATCATATTTTTGTTTGGTCTTGTTTTAGTATTTGGTCAATGCATCAGATAAATTCTATACGGGGGTGGTGAACAGTTGTTTTAGATTTTGCTGTGCGGTTTTAATTATCATTGATTGTACCTGGTGATTTGTGTGCTAGCAGTTGGCAGGCAAGCAATTTTTCAGCTTAAAAAGTTATTGCAAATGATTATTTAAAATAATAAAAACAAAGAAGTTTGGAGAAAATGGATAAATCAAACTGAAGTACTCCATTTTATTGGATATTGTGTTGTTGTACACACTACAACTCCTCATTTATCTTGATAATAGGCAATGGTCAACATTACGTAAAAATAAATGTAACTTGCACAGGAAAAGAGTCTATAGAAAAGCCTCAAAGCAGACATTTTATTTTAAGTTTTTGTTCAGCAGAATCTGCTAGCTACATTTACTGTATAGCATTTTGAAATATGCCTATGCAGATATCTAGCTCCGCAAACCTACAGGTACACATTTATAAAGTATGCTTGAGGCATGGAGGAAAATGGATTACAACATTTGTCATAATTTAATAAAATATTTCTAATCACTACCAGGTTACTGTGTAGCATTTTTCACTTCAGAGCATGCTCATAGAACATATTGGTAGGCATTGAATGCATCCAACCAGTTTTAAGAGTCAAATAAACTAAAAATTAAGTTTGAAGAGCAAATGAAATGTTCATTGCATTTGAACACTAGGTTGTCCGATCCAAAAAGATTCTAATTATAAATGTAATCAGTCTTTTTAGAAAAATGTAAACACATCAACCCTGTAAACGCATTACAGGCCATAGGATAACTTAACCTTATTATGAAAGTAGTTCACCTGAATTTCATCAACAGCTGCCAGTACATAGCTATTTCCATCCTTGTAGGGTGAAAAGTTGAAGCATATATCCTCCCAATCTATTTTCATATTGTTGAGTGCTTTCTCCAGAGCATACTCTTTGCTTGCTTGAGAGCTTATCTGATTTAAATCATCAAGATATTTTTCTAGACCAAACTGCAAAACTTCAAACAGAGTTGTGCTCTCATGTGGAGTGATATTAAATCCGACCTGGGTAAAAATAAAAATACTCACATATTTATTGGGAAATAGTACTACGTATTTTAAAATTTCTCAGAAACATTCATATTGGATAATTCTACCTGACATTGAATATGTCAGACTACATCACAAAACAAACTCATGTTACTTCAATATACGTATTGGGCCACAAATTCAGACACATGAAAGTTTTAGCAATGCTGCGTTGTCTAATATTGTGATTACTGCCAACTATGCCCCAGCTTGCTCCATGCATTCCAACTGTGCTATCTGCTCCCCAAATTCTAGTAACATATTCAGCTTTTAAGCACTATGGTGCCATTGCAACAACAGGAAAACAATCTAAAATCAACAGTTATCAGGTTTCCAAGCTGTAATCACCGAGTCTTAAGAAAGGGTTTAATAGTAATAATATTTATATGTAAACCTTAACAATGCACCTCTCTTATTTGCTAAATTTTGGTCTGTTAATTATACTTTGAAAGCATTCTGTTATACCTGCTGGATAAGTGAAAAAAAAAAATTGTAGGAAATTCAGAGCTGTTCTATGTCCAGTTCACACTTCCTGTGTTATCTTATGTAAGGTAATTAGCCATTCTAGTTATTAGCTTGGCCCACAGAACAGTTCACGATGTTATGAAGAACAGAATAGGGGGACAATTTGATTAGTTTAGCAAAAGACAACTGGGCAGGGCTTGCACCACTCAAATTTTAAAAATGCAGTGTATTGTCAGCCAACAACTGGACTAAGAAGCTAAACGGATTTCTGGCACATCAACGGGTATTTTTCTGTACTTGCATGGTCTTTAAAGGAATAAAACGTAGGAAAAGTTAAAGTTGCCCTGACATACACTTTTATAGATTTTGCAAACATGAGTTAGATGTCTTCAAAATCAGGTTTTTGTAATTTCCCTGTGAGTTTTTCACATGACTTTAAATAAGTTCAGCAATGCACCTAATTTGGACAAATGTTATTAAGTATTAATAGTTTAACAGCAGCAGTGCCATGGATCAGTGAAACCTGCTAACCATAAGAAATACAAATGGCAGGGAAACTCATCATTTGGCTGGCTACACACTCAAATATTTGAGGTCCATTCAGATAACTTTAATACTTTCCAAACATATTCAATAACAGGGAAATGTGTACGTTTCAAAACACAGCATCACACTCAGCATAGAATGTACTTTGGGTAACTATATGATATATTTAATAGATATGCTTACAATATTCACAAACATACAAACGTGTAACTGATTCAAATACTTATTACATCTGCAGATACTTGAAGAACAAGGATACAACATTTACTTGACCAGTTAACTGAAAAGATCCAAAAACTACCTGTCACTTAACATTTTACACAGCTAGCAATTCTACAGCTAGCATGAATGTCTAATACAGAAGGATTCTTTTATTGTACCAGATTTTTAGGAATTATGGAAAATTTCAACAACTTAAATACAGGTATATGCTTAAGTGCTAAATTAAACAATTCATTCTTAAAGTTGAAATAGAAAAAATACTTATTCAGTTATGTGTATTCATTTATTCTAAATTTATTTTAATCACAGCCAGTATAAGTACTCAAGATGCTCTTTATGTTAACTTCTAGTAACTCCTACACAGAAGCACTTGCTGTAGCTTCGGGAAAGAGGGTGAATGGAAGGGGGGGGGGACACTGAGACGTTCAGTTTAACATTACAAACATTTAGAGGGAACTGCACATTCTCTGAGAAAGGAGTGGTGATTAAGACATCAGCCATTCAATCCCTTAGTATGGAGTTAGGTAAGTACCACTGCAATGATTTAGGGGGAGGGCATTCAACTCTACACATGGTTGAGGAAAAGTAGAATATGAGATATTTGTCTGAATTTGTTTAATTATTTTAGGGACCCCCAAGCAATGCCCCTGTTGCCTGATGCCATACAGTCACATCCTTCTTGCTGCAGCTGGAATCCTAAAATATACAGTATCTACAGCCAAAACATTTGTTTCTATTTTAGATATGGTAAAGATTGGTTGAAACCCCTGTAATTTTTTAGTGTCTGTGTCCCATTCTAAAGATTTCCTTTTTCACTTCCTGTTCTGTAGAAGCAACAGGAAGTAAGAGTAAATCTCCTCTTAGACAGCTGTCACAATAGATGCCCCCACTGGAAAATTCCCCCTCTATTTCTGTTTTTGATGGCAACTAAAAATTTGACATGTTCTCTCACTTACTTACAGTGGCAATGGTTGATGGGGCACATCAAGGGATGAATCCCCCTGGCAGAGATACAGACAGCAATAAAATTTAACAGGGGTTCTAAGCCTTCCATACTCTATTCAAAACTAAAAAGGTTTTCCTATAGATATGTTTTCATTCATCTTCTATATTCTCTGTAAAGGATGGTAAATGAATAAAAAAAAGACCATTGATTTGTCCTAGCCTGCTTAACTCCTGGAGGAACCAATCAAGATGTTATTCGATAGCAACGTAACATCAGTGTGTGGTTGGTGTTTGCTGTAGAAGAGTCATATGACCTTAGGTTCAATTCACAAAGCTAATACACTAGAACAGTGATCCTTGTTTGTTAACGGAGTCTTTTTTTGTGTAGGATCCAATAACTATTAATACTGATGGCCATAAAAATGTTAATTATTAATTTTTAATGAGTATTGGATGTTAAACACAAAGTATTATGACTCTCATACAAGGTGCTCCTCACCAACCACGCACACCGCTGTTAAAGAAAAATCCAACATAAATGATCCCAACAGATAGGTGGACCTTGGATACACAGGTCTTTTGCCACTGTTCAAATAGAAAAAGTAATGACAAATCAAGTTCTATAAAATGATTTGTGGATGTGTGTGCGTGTATGTTTCTAGAAAGTGTATTACTATGACAGACCATGCTACTGCTATGAGGGCTGGTTTAATCTGGCTATACAGTGGGGTTGATTTACTAAAGGCAAATAGGCCACTTTGCAAGAAAAGTTGAACTTTGCAAGGGAATTTTCCCCAAAGCTTAGTGAATGTGGTGAAAATTCACTTTGCAAAGAACACCAACCATGCTCTAAACTTTGGGGATAATTCCCTTGCCAAGTGAACAGTCTATTTGCCTTTATTAAACCTTCCCAATGCATTTTGTAGGTAGAAAAAAACCTCTGGCAGATACATTTGGATAAAATTAATGTAGTTTATTACTCCCTATATGATTGCTATTCTGTATGACTATAAAAAGTGCCTTGGTGATAGAAATTATAGAGGCAGAGAAGCCCCTTGATGGTTTTGCTATGGGGCCTTACGGCACATAGTTAAGGTGCCGATGCCTAGCATGTTTCATTATTCCAATACCGACAGATCAAAATGAATGAATGATTTCCTTTTTGTGAACTTGCATCAGATAGAATGTTTGCCATATAAATCAGTAAATGCTTGAAAAAATGTATTAAAGCAGGTATGAAACAAAATAGTTCGCTGCACTTTCTACGCTTGTTTAAGAAGAATAAACTCAACTTCTAAATCCTTAAATCCAATTTAGCAAGCCTCATGTAAGTAGAACAACAGTGCAGTGAAGATTATATAAAGCACAAGAAATGAACTGTTCACTTGCTGCTGGTGAAAGATTCAAGAGCATTTATTCCAGACTTCTATGTGAAATGATGCAACCAGCAGCCCTTAAATGAAACTAGTTAATCTAGCCTTTGAAGAATAGAGCCATACACTTGAGTCGTAGGAACATTTATGAACTGCAGAAAGTAAATTACTGAAAGATAAAATAGGATGTCACGGTGCGGTTAGTTTCCCAAATTTATTGCTCTGGATTTTTTTTCTGCTGCTTACAACCCCTCTTGTATGATGTCATTTTCATATTTGACAGCCACCATCTCACAACAGCTGAGAAGGGTTGGTGGTGAGAGGGATCTCCAAATGACTTTTCCCTTGATGGCTAGGATTCTTTACCCATGATGTATCACCACGGTGAAATGTTTCAATGCTGATAAATAATTCAGTCTTTCTGTCATCTTGGAAGAACTAAAATGTATACTGCAAGCCACTGAATGAGAGAAAGTGACCCTCCAACACTAGTTAAAATGTCAACTGAATGCTTTGAAGATTATCGGAGATATATTCATAAAAGAAGAAATGGGACATTCTAAATAGGATTAAATGTATAAGGGAAGTTTATTAGATAACACTTGCACTGAACTTATCATTGCATAACAGAAAAAGAAGAATTCCAGCTTATAATGCATTGGAGTTCATTTACTAAAGTAGTAAAGTGTGTTCATTTTCTAAGTGTATGCAAGGAAAAAAAATAGGATTTTTGCTTGCACCTTAAAAACCGTGATTGAACATACTGTACCTCCTTATACCATATTTTCATCAATCCTGCTCTATATTAAAGTTACTCATGGCTAGAAATTGTAATATATAACTGGTCTGTAATATAACCTTGTCAGCAGTTTTTCTGCTGTTGAATTGGCATTGAACACCAAAAGCCATGTGGCTTTGCTTAATTCCTTCTTTATGTATAGTATGTGTGGGGACTTGACCCAAGGCAATCGGATGAAGTGTGCAAACTGTACCAGATTATGCAATAAAGATGTTGAATACCAGGCAGATAAGGAAAATACCATTTAATACAGCTATGTGGTCATTAAAACAAGAAGTATTTTAATATTGGGCTTCTGTACTTTCTTGCACAACAGCACTTAACTGGGTTTACCCAGTGAGCCAATCAGGGCTCTTTTGCTTTGAATAGGCATGTTAAACAGAGGGGAGAGCACAGAAATAACCTTACCAATGTACTGCTTTTCTCTTACTGTCCAATGACAGGCTTCAGTGGGTCTGTCTATATAGCCAGGCTTTATAGTTTAACTGCAGTATATTTTTGAGAGAGGTGCATATCTTTTGACAGGTAAAGCAATCAACAAAGGTTATTTCAACTGTGTAATAAGTTGTTTATCAGGAGTTTAGCTGTAATGGTTCTACAAAATGTATACCTGGTGTGTGTACTAT